GAATTAAAAGCCCTCGTGGTTAAAAGTAAAATACCCAGCCGGGCTGCAGCACAGTGTCTGTGAGCTGATGGGGCTGGAGCCACAGCTCACAACAGTTCTTCCTGCAACATCTTGAAAAAGGAAAGCTGACCCAGAGCACAGCACTGGGGCCACTGGAGTCTCTGTGCAGCCAGTCCATCCTCTGCCAGCTGTCCCCAGGTCCAGCATGATGCTTTTTAACCTGAATAACGTACAATCCAGGAGAAACAGGGTGGTTTTTTTTTGTCAGGCAAACTGGGAGTATGGCGAGGTTGGAGGGGAGGAATGGAGACAGCCAGGAGAGACCGGAGTGTGAGTCCCCAAGTAGATGTTGCTGCGATGTGCAATTCCTCTCCTAAAGCACTGAAATACTAAAAGGGTTCCTTTACAGCATGCTTGGGGCACAGGGACACGCTCGGTGACCAGCTCTGTGCCTGCTGCTCTCCCAGCACTGCCCTGGCCACATCCAGCGTGGCTGGCGGAGCGGGGACAGAGCTGGTGCCACAGCCAGGCTGCTCAATGAAAAACACTAAAGAGGAGGTTTTGCCTAAATCTAAAGTGTTTTCACGCATTTCTGGACAGGTGTCATGGAATTTTTAAAAATTAAAAAACATAAATGCATATAAAAATGTGCATGCTTGGGGTGGGCACATACACAGTGACCCCTCGTGATACAGAGCCCTCAGTTAGAAGTTGCTTGTGGCGTTACAGGGAGAAGGGCTGGATTATTCAGAGAGGAATTCCTCAATCCAAAAGTGTGCTGTGTGTTATTTTCATAGCCAGGCAATGCAATGGGTTTGTACCCTCCATCAGGAGGCTGTGAGGTCACTCCAGGAACTCCAGGGGTAGGGGCAGGCTGTATATCCACCTGCCATCCCAGCCCTGAGGGGATTGTGCCTGTCACTCAGGAATTAATGACTGACTCGAGGAGCGAGATGACCTGGGGATAGTGCAGGGCTGTGCACACACACACACACACGCTCCCATGGCCGCAGCATGGAGCACTGCAGGAAGGGCTGGCAGAAATGTGGGCAGTAGCAGCTCTGCTTTGCTTGAGGACCTTTGAGGGTGTGCATGTGTGTGTGTGTGCATGTCAGGGCCCCCATGTCACGGCAGCAGCTGGCTGCTGACTCTCAGCACGAGCCATTCTGCAGCCAACCGTGTGCCCCACTGATTTGCTCCCTGTCCCTCGGCGTTCCAGCCAAACGGTCAGGAGGGGCGAACGCTCCGTAGAAAAGGATGCTCAGTATCAAAATCCTCTTTATAAAAGGGAAAGAAAAAAAAAAAAAAAA